TATACTCCGTCTGCCACCTTCTTGCCCACTCACCCAGCCTGTCTATTTCCCTGTGCATTCTTCGTGTGTCATCCTCACAGCTTACTCTCCCACCTATCTTCTATCGTCCGCGAACTTAGATATCTTAAGTTCTATTTCCTCATCTAAATCATTGATATAGACTGTAAATATTTGAGGCCCAAGTACTGATCCTTGTGGCACTCCACCAGTCACATCCTGCCAATCTGAGAAGGACCAGTTTATCCCTACTCTCTGCTTTCTTCCTGTTAACCACTCTCCAATCCATGCTAATATATTGCCTTTAATTCTATGGGCCCTTTTATGTGGAACCTTGTCGAATGCCTTCTGGAAATCCAAATACACCACATCTACTGGTCCCCCACCTCTCTAACCCGCTAGTTACATCCTCAAAAAACTCTATAAGATTTGTTAAACATGATTTCCCTTTCGTAAAACCATGTTGACTCTGCCTAATCATGTTATGATTTTCTAAGTGCCTCACGACGACGTCTCTAATTAAGGACTCTAGAATTTTCCCTACCACCGATGTCAAACTAACTTGTCTATAGTTCCCCATTTTTTGTCTCCCAAACTTCTTAGACAGCGGTATTACGTTTGCGACCTTCCAATCAATGGGAACCATTCCAGAATCCAGGGAATTTTGGAAGATCAAAAACAAAGCATCCATTTTCTCCGCAGCCACTCTTTTAAAATCCGAGGGTGCAGGCCATCATGTCCAGGGGATTTATCAGTTTTTAATCCTATCAAGAGTGGAGAGGATAGAGAGGAACGAGAGATTGCTTCAGAGAAGAGACCGGCTTTACTCGGAGGGCATCAAAATCCAAATTCTTCTTTACATTTTTAGACAAAATACTCTTGAAGCGATTAGACTCAGGAGAAAGGCACATGAAAGATTCTAAAAAGTTCTTACATATTCAAACAATATTAAAGGTCGAGAGATTAGATGAACTATGGTTGGCTATTACGTAGACAATCTTTGAGGGATTAATTCCCTACTTTTATTCCAATTATCTCCAGTTTCACTTTCATTATTCAAGTAGATTCCTCAGTAACTCTGATCTATTACTTACTATTATTTGGAATAACAGCCTCAAAATCACCATTTTTAAGAAAAAAATCTTAGTCTTTTAAGAAGCCCCAGAATATTCCGAGTGCAATATCAAACATAAGTGTTCTCAAAGGAGAGAAATAAAATTGATAGTCCTGTTTCTGATTTTGTTTTCAAAAGTGAAAGATTTACCTTTACTTTTGTTAATGTGAGCGATCATACTTTTTATAATTTACTGCATAATATTCGGAATCCAAACCAAGCCGATTCAACTCAGTATAAAAGAACCATCAGTTAGTTCTGGTTTGGTGAATAATTAATATTGGCATCTGTGCGTACCTTTTAGAGATAGCTACAAAACGTATCTTGTTGTTTTTATTTTCCCTCGATCATTCTGCCGTCAATGCTTACTTTGTTTTTTTTGGTCAGCTGGGTGTCTGGCCCGTGCGGAAACCCATCACCGTGCTTGAGAGTATCCAAACCAGACTTTCAGTTTCACATATGTACGCTGCCTACACATAGAAATTTTCCCTGTGTCTGGGAAGAAATGTGTTCTCCTGCCCTGGAGGGGCTCACCCTGCTTACCTAAGCCCTGAATATTAGGCATAGGATGGTGGCGAGAGCCAATGCCTTGTGGAATCCTGTAGCTCAGTGGTTAGAGCACTCGCTTTGCAAGCGAGAGACCTGAGTTCAATTCCAGGCAGAGGGCGAAACCTTGGGCAAGTTTCCTTACTCCACACAGAGCCTAATAATAATCCCTCCAAAACCAAAAACAATAATAAATTGGTCATTTTCAATCCATGACTGTTTGTGGGACATTGCTGTGCGCAATTGGCTGCCGCGTTCACCCACAAATATACAGTCAATTCACTTTACAGTGTGTTCTGTGAAGCGCTTTGGGACGTCCTCCCGACGTGAAAAGCGCTATATCAAATGCAAGGATTATTATTATTATTATAAGGCTCAGTGTGGCTCAGTTGGTAGTACTCTCTGCTCTCAGTCATACGGCTGTGGGTTCAATCTCAAATTGGGACTTCAAGCTCATAGTCCAAGATTACATTCCATTGCAGTGTTGGGGGAGCGCTGCATCGTCAGAGGTGCCGTCCTTCAGATGAAACATTAAACTGAGGTCCCGTCTGTGCCTGTTCAGGTGGACATTAAAGATCCCACGTAGCACTGTTCGAAAAGAGAAGGAAAGTTTCTCCCATTGTCTTGACCAACATTTCCCCAGATAAAGCTGATCATTCACGGCGTGGCTGTTTGTGGGACTAGCTTACGTGAAAAAACTAAATGATATTTCTATGAAGCGCTTTAAGACGTCTCGATGACACAATAACCCGCTGTACCAAACGCAAGGAATATTACATTATGTTATATTATTACACTTTGGAGTAACCAAAGATTTTTTACCCTTTTGTTTAAAGGAGGCAAACATTTCGGCTGCATATTATATTCTGAAATAGCCTGACAGCAAAGTACATTCGTCTCAATCTCTGGTTTTACGAGAAAGATTTCATGCATTATTCAGGGGTGTTTTATTCCAGTGCAATTAATAATTGAACAGCCTTGTTCTCATCAAGACGAGGTAATATTGGTTGTGGAATGGAAACGTTTCGCTATCTTTTAATGTATTTATTATTAGTAGTAGTGGTATTAGTGGCAGGACGCAGTGCTGTAGTGAGTGAGTTAGCTATAGAACTGGCTATAAGCACTGTTTAAACATTGCTCTAATCTTACTCTTTACAGAGTGGTGACTTGTTCTGCCCACTGTAACAGCTCTCGTTGTGTATCAGAGTGAGATTTGAAGCCTCTGCGCAAATCGACTTCACGAGCTTCTCAAGACCCGAGATTGCAAGATTGATGAGTATCCTTGCTGATCATATCTTCATCTTTTTCTCTCTCTTCCACCACCCCCCCCACCCCACCCCACCCCCCCCCACCCCCAGCACTGTTAAGTTAACTTCCGTTGGAAAGTGAGTTCCTGCTGCCTGGACTAATTGAACTCCGAAACCTCTCGACAACATCAGAGATGAGGGTTGGGTGGGTGGGTGGGTGGGGGTGGGGGTGCGGGGAGGAATCTGCATTTCATGGACTTGGCTGCTTTCCAGCGCATATTCCGGAGACAAGTGGCTGGCTTTCAACTTGGTACATCAGATGCCTCGCTGCCCTGAAAGGGTTAACGGGGAGCGAGCTCTCAAACAGACGCCTGCTGCACGCTGTCTGATTATAACATCAAATGCTGGCGGGCGGGCTTTGATCTCATTTTTAGGATTAAGCGGCTCGCTCGCGGATTCAAAACAAATACATTAACAGTGCAGCAGCATTTTAGATGCAAATTACTAATCTTTTATTAACGTACGTCCACAGTGTTAGACTGGAGACAAAGAGGTCTCTTGCAATGGAGAGGGTAGGTCGCTGCCATTTGAAGAGCAGTGGATTTTGAAGTGCATCTGCTCCTTTGATATCAGGGAGGATGTGCCTCGCGCCAACACTCGCTGGCACAATGATGTGAAGCAATTATTAGTAATCATCTTTACATTCGATACAGGACCTTTCCCTTCACAGGATGCACTGGAAAGTGGAGCAAGTGTGTTTGCCATAGGCAAACGCGGCAGCTAATTTGCACACAGCGACGTCACACAAACAGCCATGAAATGAATGATCGATTCTGTTCGGGGGGATTTTTTTTCCAGGACGCCTCTCCTAATTACTCTTCCGATTCCCGATGTAAACGCGCATAGAAAACTATTCCGACAGCAAAGTTTGGTGGAATCAAACACCGATGGCTGATTGTGGCACACGATTGTGTGCAAATTAACTTTACAGTAAATTCTGCATCAAATGCAAGAAATATTATTATTATTATTATTATGAAGAATAATGTAGACAACTGTGAAATAAAATGTCAGGTTGCGATCTACAAAGTAAAACCTGCATAAGTCTGATCTGTATAAATCAGATTTAATATAAATTTTAATATATTATTATTTAATATAATATAAATGTAATTAATCGCCTAAGGCATACATCTGCTCAAGTCACGTTGAATTTCCAATTATTTATAAGTTTGACATAACGCATTCTTCGTATAATTCGTATTAAATATATGGTCCCAACTGATACGACTTATGTGAGGTTTACTGTATTAGCCATGCAGAGCACAATGTCTGAAAATAGATATGTTTGGTGAGAATTGCCCAACTGTGCATCCAACACAAATGTTTTTGACTCACCGATTCCCACACGTGTTTGACAAAAACACATGTAATGGACTTGAGTCGGCATTGATCAGACAAAAGGGCTGAAAAGATTGTGTGGTAGTGAGGTTATCGGGTGCTGGATTGGTAGCGAATGATTAGTTTGTGGAACTGTGGAACATACCACTTTGACTCCATCTGGAAGCTGAAGAAAACACAGACAACATACATCTCAACTCACGCTGGGACTGTTCTAACCAGTGCCAAGCATTGCTTCGTTATCAAAAGTTTTAAGGGCGGTGCAGTGGATTTCCCAACAACTTCTAAACTTGGTGCAAAAGGTGTAAAGAATTTCACTTTTTTTGAAAACCAGCTAGATATAATTTCACAGTTACCCAAAATGTCCGAATAATGACCTAGTTATTTGTGGGACACAGCTGTTCACAAATTGGCTGCTGCATTTCGCCCGCAATCGATGACGCCTATACACTTTACAATATATTCTGTGAAGCGCTTTGAGACGTCTCAATGACGTGATAAAATGCTGTATCAAATGCAAGGATTATTAATATTATTAGTGAGGTGAAAATACGATTTAGTAAAAAGCAAATTAACATTACTACTTTCTTACGTCTGTACTGTCCGAATTCTACGCAAGAATCCTAAACGTTTTGTCCTATTTGCATTCAAAAAGGTTGAAACGAAAAAGGAACGAGGACAGCAAAGAAACTTCAATGCAAAACAGTGTTTTATTGGACATTATTGCAGAGGACAAATAGGTTTATTTATAAAAGCATGCAGGACTGCAAGACGCTATGAAGGAAAACAAATCATCAAAGGAGAAAATGAGCCAACTGGAGGGATTGATTTGCTTTAGTGTTATTGAAATCTACATTTTACTGAATAAAACGATGCATTTGCCGGTTGTTCATGCCATGTTACGTGTTGTATTTCAACAACAGAGGCTCATCTCTGCCCAGTGTTTAATCTGACGCGTTCAAGGTTTAATTTTGCAATTAACTGTGTATAATAAAACTCGAGAACTTTTGGGTTTCTGCTGCGACTTCAGAGTAAATGAAAGGCATCGTCACACTTGGATTAAGATTAATTGAAGTGATTTTTAATCAATCAACGACAAATCACCTTGTAGATCAGAAAGGAAGCTTACAGCCTCAATTGTTCCCTCCTTCAAGACTTAATCACGACAAATAATCGATATGTACGATACATATATAGGTGTGGGTGTTGCGTAACTCCCAAATACACTCTGTGCTTTAGTGGTTAGACACAGCAGTGAACTGTGCTGAGATCATTTAGGTTGATCCTTTAGTCTTCTTTTGGTTGGATGACTTTTGTTATATCGTTCGGGTCTTTGCAGGTGCCAAAGTTGGTGTTGGTTATGGAGCCAATGAAGGATTTATCCCCATCGCACTTCAGGCCCCGCTCACAGGGACATCTGTAGTAAATATTGTACAGGAACTGCAATGGTAGAAAACATGTCAGTATTTACCAAAGAGGAAGCCCAAAGAAGGAAAGATCACTGCTCGTAAAACTATAAAACTTTACTCTTAAACACAAGGCAACTTCTAAAAGAGACAAACAGCTGTACAATTAAGAATAGTAAATTTGTAACTGGAGGTGATTTTAATCAATGACTATGGTTAGTAATAAAAGCTAGATATCTTTGAACAAAGAAATGAATATCTCTTATTTTCTCCTAAGGCGGTATCGATACCAATCACAGCAAAGTGTGTGTCGCACAGGCTTTCAAACTTACTGGCTGGATGTGAATGATAGGACAAGCCAGAGAGAGAAAATAACATAAAATTCAGTTATTACAAATTATTCGAGTTTAAGGAAAAAGCAACAAGACTTTATGCATGGTAAAACATGGTCTTTGCTAACTCTAGTGAATTTTAAGATGCACTCTTATTAAGTTCTGGTAAGTTCAGAAGTGAAAATTCACACGGATGGTGAGGAATGTATTTTAGACCCAAAAGTGTGAACTTCACCCAGAAGCTATGAGTGTTGAGCAGTGATATACCTGTGCCAGCACAGGAGCCTTCAATGAATCAATGGTCACCACAGAGTAATAAACACCAGTAAGGGAACATTTGTAAGGGAATTACTATCGAAATCTACTTACATGGTCAGAGCACAAATCTCCCTCAGGTCCTTTGCTGAAACACCTTGACAGACTCAATGCAGTGTCTCTCTGACAACAGTCACTCTTGCATTGAAAGCTTCCAATGCAAAGCTCTCCATTGTCCTTTGCAAAGGGAAACACAACTTTATAGCACATCAACGTTCTTCATTAATTGGACCGTAATAATCAACTCTAAAACATAAGCTTGAACAAAAAGCCAGCCAGCCAGCAAAGTACTTTAACAAGTTTTTTGTTCACTACCTGATGTGATAGAGAACGCAACTGCCTAGTCTGACACTGTTGCACATTCCCATCTGCTTGCGTTTGATTCACATAAATGCTAATAAGTTTAGAATGATTCAATTAACAGCAACAACAACTTGCCATTACTTAATCTAATCACTTGATAAGATCGGGAGTCCGAGTATGTTGCTTATATGAGCGTAATCTTACCAGGTTAAGAAATAACCCTTTCTCAGGAGCTGCTATTCCCACAGCGATCCAGCACGCCAGGCAGATAAGAATTATCTTCATTTTGGGATGGTTCGGTACTGGACAATTTTAATCATCAGCGAGTGATAAATTCACCGGTGATTCCTATTTAAAGGCGTCCATCTCGCTCACGTGCTTAAAAGTCATTAATGTTTAACCTCGATCCCTTTTATTGCTGCGGCAAAATATGACTGAACGTAGAGACTGGTTTTGGAACTTTTTGCAAGTGTCTTCATGTGCGTGTCAATGTGGGTTGACCTCTCCTTGTCCTTGCGTTTTTCTTTCTACTTTATCTTATTTGAACAGATGTCCCACCTTTGCTGAGTATGTAGCGCCTGCTCTAATCACATTCAGTACAAATAGTAAAAACACTAATCCTCATTCTCAACCCCTTTCCCCTCCCACCCCACTTTCACCCCTCTCTCTCTACCCCCACTCCCCCCCAATTTCAGTGTTCCACACCGAAACCCACTGCCATTCACACCTAATAATAATCCTTGTATTTGATATAGAGCCTTATCACGTCATTGAGACATTCCAAAGCGCTTCACAGAATAACTGTAAATTTGGGGGGTGAAACACGGCAGCCAATTTCACACAGGGGTGTCCCACAAAACAGTACATTGTTTAAAAAAATTGTGAAAACTAATGCATTGTTGCGTCTCCAGATACCACCACATCCAGGTGATATCTGGGGTTGGTTTCCAGTTGCCATTCACCCCGTTGATACTGCGTGTTTGGCAGTGAAATTGTGACAAGCAAAACACAGTTGTTAAATGTCCTTCATTGCTGGATTATTGTGACAGTTTATCTGATGCAGTTCCAAACCACAGATGTTGCTGTTTGCCCACTTAATCATTTTTACGACATTGGAAGACCAACAATGTGCCTAAACATGTTTGATAAGATCACTCAAGGTAATATATAACGTGGCACCAGATAACTAAATTACACAGGAGCCAAGAATCCTTGTAACTTGTAGCAAAATATACAGTCAATTCATTTTACAGTATATTCTGTGAAGTGCTTCGAGACGTATCAAAGATGTGATAAGGCGCTATATCAAATCCAAGGATTATTATTATTATTCATCCTGTGGTTAGCAAATTGCTGAAGTTCCTATCCTTAGTGAATGGCATTGGAATTTCTTGCCCTTACTTTAAGGCTTCCCCCAATGTCTTAGTGGGTGAATGCACTACTTCAAAGTGGGGCCAAAAAGGGTTAAACCCGAACAAATTGTTTTAATGCAAATGAAATCAGGTGTTTTGAGTGTTGAAGCAATCATGTTCTTTAGGGATGAATATTTGCATTCAGTCTTGGCACCATTTTTGTGGGGCAAGACTGTAAACATCCTTCAAAAATCGACAGCATTTAGAGAATGGGGGGTTTAAGCACACCACACTGTGTTTGTTTAAGCTGGTCAATTGGTTTATTGATCACAATTATCAGTATCTTTGCCAACATTTGCCTAAAATCCATTGGATACAATGACAAACCTGATCATCAGAAGCTTTAAAAATTAATTCAATTAAACTACACTCCTTCTTCAATCAACTGCGTTACTTTCATGGGTCGAAAGATAGAAGCAGCGACTGAAGCAGGTAGCGTAGATGCATTTAAGAGGAAACAAGATACACCACGTGAGGTAGAATGGAATAGAAGGGTATGATAGGGAGTAAGGAATGGGTGGATGCTGTTGGTGGAGGAGCCTAGGCGGTGAGTGTAGGCGAGCAGTTCAACCTTGGAGGGAATTGGAGCTGAACTTGATCCTCAGCACATTTTTCAATCAACAACAACAACAACAACAAAATCACATTTGTATAGCGGCTTTCACGTCGGGAGGACGTCCTAAGGCGCTGGACAGGGGTTTTTGACCCGAGCTGGGGGGGGGGTCGAGATCGGCAAGGGTGGAGGGCAGGGGGAGAAGCAGGGTGATCGAAAGCACGGTCGAAGAGGAGGGTCTTGAGATGGGTCTTGAAGGAGGCAAATGAGGGGGCAAGGCGGAGGGACTGCGGGATGGAGTTCGAGAGGCAAAGGCAAGCGATCAAGAGTGGCACATCAATCTGATTCTTGCCCTAAGGTCATCTGTTGGCTCAGCTGCTGCTATGTCAGGCCGCAGCGGGACTGGAACCTGCAACCTTCTGATCTGTCTATTCAGTCCTACAATAATAATAACTTGCATTTCGTGTAGCATTTCAAAGCACTTCACAAAACACAAGCAATCGGAAATAAAGTGAGTGAATGATAAGGAGAGGCAAACGTGGCAGCAACAACCTATGGACAACAATGAGATAGATTTGCAGCCGATTACTTTGAGTTGTTTATTTAAGTCGTATGCCGTTCGGGGGATCACCTTTATTGTATCAGGCCATCAAAGGATTAACGAGTAGCTTTTCTTTTTCTTTCCAACACCCTACACAACTTGATTGCTGTATTGATCGCTTCAGCAAAAGCTTATACAAAGATGAGCTGCAGAAAGGCAATAACCTGAATCCAACTGCAAGACGGTTGCAATTTATATTGTTTCACATACGCCCAAATACAGCCATTAGAATTGATAAGAAGTTTCTTATCCCTCTTGAAGTCCAGGTTGTTCGATGAGAGAAAGGAGCCTATCATAACAACAGCTTGCACTGAGACAGAGCCTTTCATATAAAAATAAACACCTTGACATGCATTACAAAATAGAATTGACCATTCAACAGGTAAAAAATCAGCAAGGAAACAGAGGGCAATGCAGGACCAGGAAAGATCAGCTCCCCAAAATCAAATAAGAATGAGTAGACACAAACTCCATCTCACAAACCGTTCAATCAACCTATTTGCCAAATAGATATCCAATTTCCTCTTGGCTTTGGCAGCACAGTGGTCCTCCACGGGTAGTTCATTCCACACACTTCTTCTCTCCACGTGAAGTAATTAAATCTAAGCTGTCAGGGATACAGGTTCACAATTAACAAGCCTCAAGGGATCAGTCCTTTATCTCCCCTCGGGCAGGAAGATATGAATCAAAGAACCACTCAGCAAAGAATGTGGATGCTGTGCTGACTAGCTCCTTTGGAAAGAAGTTAAAGATGAAGGCTATAGTGCTATGCGGGGAGTCAAATGATCAAATACTCCATGAGATGTAAGAAACCGTGCTTAAATGTTAGATGGGATGTTAAACTGAGGTCCTGTCTGCCTGTTCAGTTGGACGTTAAAGATCCCATGGCACTGTTCAAAAAGAGAAGGGAGTCTACCTGATGTCCTGTCCAAAATTAATCAGTCTTCCATGGCTGTTTGTGGGACGTTACTGTGTGCAATTGGCTGCTGCGTTCACCTACGAATGCACAGTCACTCCACAGTAAAATCCTTTGAAGCTCTTTGAGACATTGTCCCAGCGTGAGAGGCACTGCATCAAATTCATGGTATATATTATTCTCGTGATGTTAGTCCAGAACATGAAGGACTATTCACTCAAACTGGGAATCATTAAGCAAGTCAGTCACATCTGAATTGATTTGGAAGCTACCCGCTCACTTACTTACTGCAATGGTTCCTCCCCCTAACCCACAAAAGATATATAGATGAAGCAAATGTATTGCAGCGAGTGGGGGGACAAACAATCTTTACAAAATAACACCTTTTGTTTTTGTTTCGCTTGCAATTCAGTTAACGTTTCACTCAAAATAAAGTTTAGGATCCTGAGAAGCACAATTTTTCAGAGGGCAGACAAATAAAGGAAGGGCAAAGAATGCAATCATGTTTCAATCCGTGGTTTAAATTGGCGAGAAAAAGAGGCGTATTCCTGCTCTCTGGCTGTCGGATAAATTATTGATCGAAGGCGGTATCGAAATTGATTTGAATTGACTCCCGTCTTCTGAGCATCTGGTTCACGGGCAATTCCAATCTCTGCTAGCCTGAGTGTACATAATAATAATATTATAATAATAATAATAATTGGTGGGTATATGAGGGGGATAGTACCCCCGAGTGGCTTGATTGGTAATAGCGTTGTTAGAGGGCTGAGACATGGGTAGAAAAAGACAGGAGAAACATTGAAAATTACAGTGCAGAAAGAGGCCATTCAGCCTATCGAGTCTATACCGGCTCTCACAGCAAGATGTTCATTCAATCCCACTGCCCTGCCTCATCCCCATACCCCTTCAAGACACTACCTTTCATTAAGGGGAAGGCGGGGGAACAAAATAGAGCAGCAAATTAAAGTTATGCAAAGTTATGATTTATATTTTTGACACTCATTTTAGATATCCTAAACATTTCCAACTCTCGGCGTTAGTTTTCAAGTTGCCACGTTTTTCTACATAGATAGTAATAATAATAATAATAATAATAATAATCCTTGCATTTGATACAGCATCTTTCACTTCCCAAATCACTTCACAGGGCTTACTGTAGAGTACAGTGTATTTGTAGGAATTTGTGAAAGCCAATTTATTCACAGCATTGTTGAAAGATACAGGCAGGCATGAAATCAATGACCGATATATAAAATTCCATCATATCCAATCAATTTTATTTTGTAGAGTGCTCTGTGACTCATTTTTAAACACAAAGGCGCTTTACAAATGCAAGTTATTATTACCTTGAGAGGCGAGGATTAATGTGGAATTATCAATCCATTTCTTTTCAATCTGAGTTCAGGGCTCTTACATGTTTTACCTGTCAAAGTTAATTGTTGATGTCAAAGAAATGGTCTAATTAATAGGAGCAGCTATATTCATTCCACTCAGGTTTCAGAATCTCCACTGCCACATTGACAGGAGTCAAAGGACCCATCTTTCATGGTTAGTGGTATTATCATTAGCGATTTAAAATGTCAAGAGCAAATTATTCTTAATTTCAAATCAAAGTTTTAAGAGATAACGACTATAAAACTAGGAACGAGTGCAGTGAAAAGCAACCTGCAGCTGTGTTGAGAAATAGTGAGGATTTATTGAACCGGCCATTAATTTTGGTCCATATCATCTGAGGTAATTCTTAGACAATGAACTTCATTAGAGGTAAGGCAGTCTTTTGTCCTTAATTTTAACTGCATTAACGGGTAATTTCCCGACTGTGAAGGGTTTATTGTGGCCAAT